CGCTGGGCCCCTTCGATCAAGTTCAATTTATAAAGCGTCGATTGAGCATTGGCCGCTTCAGGATGGCCTTCGATTCACAATGCAAGAACCCCCTACAAGTTTGCTTCTATTCACCAGCAGTGGCCTCCTGCATGTTTATTTTGATTCATAAAGCAGTGGCCTCATGCTTGCAAGCTTCGTTTAGGAAAAGGCTTCTTCAGACTTGCCTTTGATCCACAAGGCAAAGGCCTCCTCATTCTTGCCTTGGATTCACAAGGCAAAGGCTTCCTCGGACTTGCCTTCGATCCACTTGGAAAAAGCTTCTTCATGCTTTCCTTGGATTCACTAGGCAAAGGCTTCCTCAGACTTGCCTTCGATCCACAAGGAAAACGACTTCCTTATACTTGCCTTCGATCCACAAGCTAAAAGGCTTCCTCAGACTTGCCTTTGATCCACAAGGAAAAAGGCTTCCTCAGACTTTCCTTTGATCCACTAGGAAAAAAGCTTCTTTCATGTGTGCTTCGACCCACAAGGAAATGAAATCCTCTGTGCGTGCCTTCAACGCACAAGGCAAAGGCCCCCTCAACTTGCCTTCGATCCACAAGGAAAAAGGCCCCTTTCAACTGACCTTCGATTCACAAAGAAATGGCTATCTACATGAAAGATTCGACTGGGAAATGTCTATCTTCAGGCCTGCACTGACTCCACCTCTAAAACCCCTCAACATAGTTTCTACACTATGACATTCAATATGATCCATTCTAAGAAGCATTCAAGGTGGTCCCTTCGAAGAAACTTTCCAAAGGTGCATTCGAAGAAATATTCCAAAGGTCCATTCGAAGGATACACAAATGGTGCCTTCGAAGGACCTATAATTGGCCCATTCGAAGGACACATTATTGTGGGAAACCAGTTTGTTTTATGATCAGTCTTGGTCCAAGATGTTTGCTGGCCAAAGTATAACATGCTGCCAAGCCCAAGCCTCCTGCGCAATTGCATTCGAAGGAAGTGACAAAAGAAGCTTCGACTGGCCAGAGTAAAGTGTTCGATTGGGCTAGTTGAGTATTTTCAGAGCCATCGAAAGGAGCAGTTCAGAGCCAATTGAAGAACCGGGCGTGAGGGCATTCGAAAGAGTCAGAGGCCAAACATGTCCAGGTTCACTCAAGATTTCAAAATGGAAAGAAGTATCCAAATATGGCCAACTTTCAATATGTTGGATTTTTGTCTCATGGCCTTGAAAGCCTTTGTCTCTTGCCATACTTGCTCTCCTCACACCCCTATAAATACAAGGCTAAGGGCACATTTCCAATAGACAAAAAAGGGATAAGAAACACACTTCTTCAGAATGTCACACCAAAAATATCAAAATATTCACAAAGTGATCCAAAATCGAAGCAACCTTCACAGGCCTCTTCAACAAGCGCTCCACTCACTCCCTGAAGTTTGCAGGAGGCGTTCCCAAGCACCAGGCAGGTCCAACATACACTGGAGCATCACTCACACAATCTCTCCGTTGGTAATTTTCTTTTGATATCAAACTAGCTAAGCATGCATTTTTTTAAATTCATGTTAATCATACATTCATGTTATTGCTAATGTTTATGATTGCTTTCATGCGTTACATATAAGGTTAAGCGCATGGATGAGATCGTGCCACTTCCAAGGCACAATTTATATTTTCTTTCGAGTCTCAGGATTCATGATGTTGCAAGACGAAATAACTTTCAATTCATACCTAGGGATTTCGAACTAGGATGATGCAACCATAGGCTGTCGAATCTAAGACTAGATTCGATCCAAGTATGGATTTTTATTTTGTTTCTCTTATAAATTTCCTATAGATACAATGTTCCCGGATCGAAGGAGTATATCATGCACCTTCTACCAGTTTCCTCATTGGATAGAAAGGCAACTCTAGGCTCCATTTCGATCCAGACTTGCATTCTACAATTTGCATAATTTATTTCCCTATCATGGCCCTTTAAATTTTGTTTTGTGTTATTAACTTATTTTCTTTTATTTATTTTGTTTTATTTACACAGCAAAATAATTATAAAAAAATCACAAAAATTAGGTCTAGTCTTTTATAATTAAAATTAATTCTATTAACTAATTAATTAATTATTTTAACCTTTCCTTTAATTTAAAACTAAATAGACTTAGGATTTTTAATTAAATCATTTTACCAAAACTAAAAACAAACAAAAAAAAGATTTTTATACCTTAGGATTTTTTAGACGTTCTTTTCCATTTCGCTCGCGTTTACATTCATATTATTGTATCTGTCTACTAGATGTAATAGAATTAATTAGGACTCTTACTGTTTTATTTAATTTTCCCCGGTTTCGGACTAGGTAATTAATCCCCCTCTCCGAAGCCTTGTAATAGCTAGGATTTACTTTTGCATTTTAATTTCCTGTACATATTAATTGTTAGATGTATGGTAATAGGATTGTATGGCAAGAAACTAAAAGGAACCTTAGAAAACCTAACATCAAAGAAAAATAACTGAAAACTGTAGCGATAAAAAATGTAGCGGGGTAAATCGGAGATCGAGCTATTAATTAACTCGACTCACAAAAGCAAGAGTCGCCACCACGCTTTATTATTTCCAAGGGAAAAGGGAAAAGAGCGAAATAAAACCCTAAAATATGCAATGTAAAATAATACTTAAAAGTAATGAAAATACAATGCATTTTGAAAGAGATCTAGAGTTCGGGGGTTGGTTATACAATGGGAAGGTATTAGCACCCAATGCATCTGCGGTACTCCGCAGGAACCTTTTGTAATATCTGTTTTTTGGCTAAAATTGTTTGTTTGATTAAAATATTTCGTTTGGCTAAAAATGGTTGGGTTGGTTAAAAATGATTTGTTTGGACGATATTTTGAACATACGACGACCTAGTGTCGAAGTTTTTGACTTAAAAGGTGTGAGTTTGAAAATTGAGTTTTTTTAGGATAATTATATTAAGTTTAGCAAAATAGTAAACAAACAAAATGAATGAGGATATTCGCACGAACGTAAAATATATTTTTGATGACATGAAGTCAACAAAATTAAAATATTTCCCTTGGAATTGAGACGGACGAATGATAAGGATTAAACGATCGAGAATAAAGTTAATTATAGCGACAACTGAACAATTAAATAAATAACGAGAATCAAATTACTAGCATGCATTTTCAAACAAAAATTAAATAAAAGATTAGTTTATAAGCATGTATTTAGACAAAATTAAATAAAGATTAACATGTATTAGGATAATTAATAAACAAAAAATTAAATAAAAACTATTTGAATAATTAATAACTAGCAAAATAAACAACATGTATTAGCTTTTTGGTAAGAAGTTATAAATAAACTAAGTTTATGTTTTGGTTATCAAGTGTATTTTAATAAAATTTGGAAATAAGACTAAAAGAATTAAAAAAAACATAATAAAATGGCCCAATAAAGAGTTGAACTCGTGTCTCTTAGGTTTTTAGTAGCATGCTTTGCCAATTGAACTATACAATTTATCTATTATATCTAGGCTTTTATTAATAAATAAGGTGATGATGGTAATGGGATTGGGCCAAAAGGCCCAATGGACCGACCCAGTCGGGAAGAGGCAAGGATGCGTTTGATTGTTATCAGATTAGTTTAAAAATGTGGGACCTTTCAGCTTCCTTGATATCTCTCTTCTTTTCCTTCTCACTTTGCATACAACGACGCTTCCTTCATCTCCATCATAGAGTCGCCGCGGTTATCAAGCTCCGGCCACCCCAGACAAACATATCTCGTCCTCTTCTTTCAAACCTCCCATCAATTTTTAAGAATCTATACCAAACTCTCTCAATCTCTAAATTTAGAAAACCTAGATCTCAAGAAGAGTAAAATTAAATAGAGATGGTGCCGAATCTGGCCATGAGGCCTTAGGGGAAGGGTTCCTGGAGCCTTACTCTACTTTGTAGTATCAAGAAGAAGCAAAAAAGGATAGACACGAAGTCCTACCTCCGGCGATGATCAAGTATTAGTGGGAGTTCCGTTCAACGACCTACATACTACATCTCGGTGAAGCGAGAAATGGAAAAAAAAAGAATGAAGTGGAGTCAATCGGGCTTACCTACTGGAGGAAAATCTGGTGTTTCTTCAACGGTGATTACGAATACTCGGGTTATAGACTTGTCTTCAATTTTCGGTTCTTTCTTCTTCTTTCTACTTTCTTCTTTTTTCTGAAATTTGCTATTGTTATTCTGAGATTTTTGCGAATCTAGTTGAGGATGGAGATTTGATGATGAAGATGCGTGTATGGATTGAAGGTTGGTTGAAGGAGCTGAAAGAGGAGAAGCTTTGAAGCTTTTGGCGAAGAAGGGAAGCTATAGTTCAATTGCAGAGAAGTTGAAATTAACTGAAGTTGCAAATTGACGTGTTAAAAAAGGGATGAAGATGAATGAAGGTTTAAGAGAGATATCAGATTTTTGTGAGTTTCTGCTTTGAAATTCTCAAGAATGAAATTGTGTTCTCTCCTCTAAAATTTTTGTCAATTTTGGTATATATTATTGGATGATTTTCCCTGTATTATTATTGGTTGAAGCTAAGATGAAGATTGAATGTATCTTCATGAAACAGGTTTGAGTTTACGGAGGAAGCAGAAGATTGAGGGTTGAAGTTTTGGAAGAATGTGAAGTTGTTGAGAATGGCGTGGTAGAAGCGATTTCTCTAATTTCAATTCTGGTTTTTTTCTTTTATGTCATTGAAGGTGAGAGTGAGAAGGCAAGTTTGGTGAATGTTAATAGGTTAACAGGTTTGGCTTAACAAAGTTGAGCAATTTTTAGAGAAAATTTGTTAGCAGGTTATGCATCCTGTTAACGAGTTAGGCATCTTAGTTTTCTAGTTATGTTAACAGGTTGTAACATATATGTAAAACAAGTGTCGTATTTTTTTTCTTTTAACAGGTTGCAACTTAATCCTAATAATTAATATTCTGATTTGTTGGTTTTAACAGATTATGCATATATAAATGATCCAAGCATGAAAAATGATTAGCTATGCAAATGAATTTGGCAGGCATAGATGTATATGTGAAAAAAGTTTGCAGAAATAATGGGAAGAAGAATACATATCAGAGTCTCTCCGATGGAGCTTTAGGAAAAAAAACAGTAAGTTCTCCCTCCTTTAATCTTCTATGTGTGTTTTCTGCTTTTATCCTGCTGTGATTTTTGAACAAAAGCTCTTTTTTCTATTTTTTCTTCTTGCTGAATTTTGTGTTTCTCTTGTTGTATCTCCTTTCTTTTGTGTTGTTCCTCTCTTCTGTTCATGAAGAGGCCTCTATTTATAGTGAAATATGTGGGGTTTTAGGCGGGGAAAATAGTAGAGATTTGAACTATTTTAGGCTCTGTTTTGATGTTTTATGAGACAGCTTTTTGAAGTGTGCATTTTAGTGCAATGTTTGGAGTTTTGTAGACTGGTTTTTGTAGCAGCAAAGGTGCAGATTTTTGTCTTATGGGCTGCATTTTGGACTGTTTTGCAGGGCAGATTAGGACATCAACTTGGCATGGTTTTTGTTGAAACAAGGTTGGAGAAAATGGACAGCATTATACTCAAGAATTGGACTGTTATTGGATTAAAATAATGCTGGAAAAAATGGGCAGCATTGGGCTGTTTTGCAGCAAGAACAATAGCTTGATTTTCATGTACAAAATTTGAATTTCTTTTGTAACTTTGTAACAATAAATCCAAGTAAATTGTAACATGAATGGATATGTATTCTTCAATATATTCTCAATTCCCTTGTAATTGTAAATAACTTTGAATCTTCATTTGAAATTGAATCTTGATATATCTTGATAAAAACTCAAGGTCTTCCATTTGAATTGGGAAAGAATTGAATAATACTTGAATAAATTGTTGAATGATGAATAAATGATAATGCAAGCCTTATACTTTAATCTTATATTTTGTAATAGAGATCCAAATAAATCACATGAATTGATTTTATAATCAAATAGCAACCCTCATGTAATTAATCTTGTGATGAACGATTACTTGAATCGAATTTCTTTTTCTAATATCTCCTTAGTAAATGCTTCATGTGTGTTCAAATAACCATAATGTAAATCCACCTAAATAATCACACAAAATAATCTTGAATAAATATTTCATGCGATAAACAATTATTCTTGAATTAGATCTCTTGGTAGCTCTTCTTTAATTATCGCTTGAATTCAGATAAAGAAAATTCCAAGTATTCCGAATAAATTCTTCTAGAACGGTTTTGAATTTAATCATCCCATTTTGACGAAATTCACCCCGCATCATGAGAAAAACTTGCAGATGACTTTTGGTCGAAGTGATCGGAAATGACTGGCATAGCTTGGTTTTCTTATATTTTAAAGCAATGTGAAACACACATGAACCAATGGCAGTAGAACTTTGTCTGTTCTTTCTGAAAAATTTCAGAGACGCCTGAGACCATCTGTTGGACAAAGTGTGGAAATAAACACACGATTCTATGAAATTCTTTTGATGAACCAGCCTTTGAGGATCAACGATCAACCATATTTCTTTCCCGAGATTCGAAACCCTAACTGATGTGTGACGTCCGATGCTTTTTCTTTCAGGCCTATTTCCTGCACATGAAATCAAAAAAACAAAACATACACTTCGTGCTTGACTATTGGTTAGTCATTCATAATATAAAATGCTCACAACACTTGATAATCTCTACACAGTCAAAGCTCGAAGGTGAGACGTTTGAAACCTACCATATTTTGTGACCTTGATGTATATGTAAAACAATGCAAATGAAGCAGGGATATTAGGTCAAAAATTGGGGTGTGACAGCTGCCCCTATTTAAGTTTCTTCTATCTGGAGATATGAAGATTAAAATCTTCGTCTCGACGCGATTGAAGGTACTTAAATACAGAATACGTAATTTTTTCCCTAAGATACCACCATTATGTTTATGATATGAATGCAGTATTTGAACTTTATGGAGAATGTGGTATAGTGGGAGAACTGACATGGTTGTTTTGCGTTTGTGTTTGCAAATGTTGCAGTTCAGCAAGAGTCGCCATCGACTTTTCTTTTATCCAATAAGGAAAGGTGAAAAAGCACAGGAAAGACCTTTAGATATGTTTTCTTGAGTTCGGGGGGTAGATTATGAAAAGGGAAGGTATTAGCACCCTTTTCATCCATGGTTTTCCATGGGCTCTTAGTTGCTTGCTATATCACTTGCTTTTGTTTGAATGTGCTTGTGGTGTGGTTTTTGAAAGTATTTTGAAAATGTAACTTTGTAATGATTCTCATTTCTATGAGAACGCATACAAAGTGTTTGTTTCGAAAATAGTTCAAAGATGTGTTTGTGAGATGTGTTTTTGAAAGTTATTTTGAAAATGTGTATTCTTTGTAATAGTTCTCGTTTCTATAAGAACACGTACAAAGTGTTGTCTTTCAAAAGTGTTTCAAAATGAAAGTATTGGTGTATAAAATGTTTTGTTGTGAGCAAGCGAGTAACTGAGAGAGAACCTACCTACTCAAAAGGTCTTAGATGTGCTTTTCCTCCTCCTTTAGATATTGCTATCTTACCATTGATTTGGTAAGAAGCCCCATCGTTGGATGTGAAGGGACGGGTGTGGGACGTTTGTATAGTCATAGAAGGCAACCTATGTGACGTTTTAGCAATGTCGTTTAGGGACTAGATCGTTTATCGAAGGCAACATCGAGGGTCATCGAGGGACTACGATATTTTATCAAGGGTCTTTGCTAAAACTCCCATATTCGAGGGACATGACTATTTTTCCGATAGGCAACAAGTGAGATTACCCTAAGGGTGCATGTGTGTAAGTGTGTTTGATTGCATGCATTTAGTCTTGCTTAAGGTGATCTATTTGTCAATTTATGTCTTGCCATACACGCCCTAATTACTAGCATTTACATTTAAAAGTGATAAATTGCAGAAATGTAAAAGTCCTACGCTATTACAATATTTTAGGGGTGGGGGTACATATTTATGAATGGGGGTTGCAAGTAAAAATAAGTCCTAAGTTACTATTATAACCATATTGAAATGTACAATATAAGAAAGAAATGGACTTGTTTAGAAAATGTTTTTTTGTCTTAAAAAAAGAAATAAATTAGTTAATAAAAGAAAATATTTTTATGTCTTTTTATGTTAATATTAAAAAATGATGAAAAGGAAAATAAACGAAAGATAGAAAAAGCGTGCTGCTGCAAGCAAAACAGCAAGGATCAGAAGTTCTGAAGCCAGGCGCGTGATGACTCAGAAGTGAATGTCAGTGGAATCAAAAGTTCTGGATTGGTACACTTTGAGGTCCTGCAAGACACGTTAGAGGGAAAACCCAGAAGTTCTAGATTGCTATGTGCTGAACTTCTGAATGTTAGAACAATGAGAAAATCTTAGAAGTTCTATATATTAAAACAGTGAAGAGAACTCAGAGATTTAATATGTGATAAGACAGTGAGTGAACATTAGAAGTTCAGTGTGTGTCAAAACAGTGAGTGAACAATCAGCAGTTCAGTATGTTATCAGCGTATGAAAAATCAGAAGTTCTAAGTGTTAAAACAGTGAGTGAACATCAGAAGTTCAGTGTGCATTAACAGTGAGGAGAACTCGGAAGTTTTCTGTTGTGCTGAAGTTGTGAGTGAACATCAGAAGTTCAGTGCGTTATCAACATGTAATAATCAGAAGTTCAGTGTGTGTTAACAGTGAGAAAAAATCATAGAAGTTCTGTGTGTTAAAATAGTGAAGAGAACTCAAAAGTTCTGCGTGTTTAAACTGTGAGAAAATCCTAGAAGTTCTGTGTGTTAAAATGGTGAGTGAAAAACAGAAGTTCTGTGTTACATTTTGACTTTTAATCATGACACCAGCAATTCATTCAGTTCTTATTAAACAGCAAATCAGAAGGATAACAACATAATAACTTATAGAAGTTCTAATCCTAAATCTGAGTCTAGCCCTAATCAAGAAATTCTGATCCACAATTTTTCTACTTAAGCAATGATATGTACAACATTAATATTATGATATTTACATGTTAATAATGTTCAGAATGAAAAACAAGTAAAGCCAGAAAGACTTACCTTGAACCTGGAGCGTGGGTTTGGAGCTTTAAGCTGCTACCTTTGGATGTTCTGGAATCAACAAGAGTAACGGAAGTGGAAGTGCCAAGCTCTTTGATTCAAAAGGAAGAGCAAAGGTTTGGTTTTCTATTTGGGATTTCTGGATTTTTTATGAAGGTTTCAACTTCCTTTTCTCTCATTTTTTTACCAATCTCTCTTCCAAAGTCCAACCTCTTGAAAGTGTGATGGAGCAACTTATTTATAGGTGAATTTGTTGTGATTTTGGGGGGAAACAAATGGGATTTGAACCTTTTTTGGCATCCTGTTCCCTTGCTTTTTCATCACTGTTTTCGTATGCTAGTTTGGTGCAATTATGGGATGCAGGAGTAGGCTGAACTAGCTGCTGATTAGCAGCTTTTAACCATGCTTAAGCTGGAGTTGTCAGCAGGATTTAAGGAAAAGCAAAACAAAGCATGGGCCTAGTACTAAAGTTTGCTATCCCAAGATAGTAGAGGTACACGTGGTGGACATCCTTTGGATAAAGACTCAAAAGTGGTTGTGAGCATTAAATGATGATGAGACTCATCACAACCAGAAATCCTGTAATGTGAGATTCTACACCATGGCTTAGTTCTGGATCAGAAGTTCTGCTTCAACGTAACATCCATCCTCTGATCTTTGTATCTTCTGGCTCCAGCACATTCTGAAGAAACTTTCAGACTTTCTAGAAAGCTTGCAACACGCTTCTTATCCTTCTTTAAATTACCCTGGCAAACTCTGACTGAAGCTTTTATGAAAACTTGCCCAGAAGTTCTTACCAAACTCTGCCTTGAGGGTGTCCAGAGTTTGCTGAGTGTTATGGTGATAATCTGGTCAGAAGTTCTGAGTTTTGTCATGCTTCTTAAACACTTAGAAAAATTTCTAAGTATTTAGAATTTGACTTTTCCAAAGTAAAATTTGACTCTTGAAATTCTTGATGAAACAAACTTCATATTCCAACATGTCTTGATGAAATATGATTTTTGAGATTTGATTTTGATCCAAAAGTCAAAGTTAGACTTCTCAGTGTGCAAATGACCATTTTGCCCTTATAAATGACTTTTCTTGAAAAATTTCAGTTCAAGGCTTGGAATTGGATGAAAGCAAACTTGAGGATCCAGGGTGATTCCTTGAGAAATGAGAGGGCAAATTTTGGGGTACAACAGAAAATGATATTGTATGAGACAAAATAATGCTGGAGAAACCAAGCATAAATAACCCACAGGAACAGAGATTATACACTACTGGGGAAATGAGCCATCGACTTTGAATGATAGACTCTTAACGGGGGATAAATTTGAGAGAAAACAACTTCTGACCCTAACAAAGAAGACGCCTTGCATAGGCCACACAAAAAAAAGATGATTATTGACCCAAGATGATGGTGAGTTCATAACTCAAAGTCAAAGATAGACAAAAGATGTATCAACTTTTGCTGATAGTGAACTACCGACTTCTGAAGGTAGAGATTTCATAACAAACTTCTCTGTGAGATTTTTCCGGAGAGATAC